CACACACACACACACACTGGTGCATCCCTACTTAATAATATAATGTATTGCTGGGACTTGCAGTCCTGCATAGATGGTGCTATTCTGCATTGCTGTATAATGACTACTAGTCCCAGCAATAGCTTATAATGTGAATAAATATAAGAACAGCAGCAGCTTCTTACGCCCCCGCTCCCCTCTCTTCCCCCCACACCGGACTTACCTGACTCCTACAGCCGCTCAGCTTCCTCTTCTTTGGCAGCCAGGGGGCGGGGCTGAGTGAAGAGGGTCCGTCCTCTCCCAGCTGAAGAATGTGCTGCCTGGCGGTGCCTGCTGTGTCGGTAGCGACAGACAGAGCCCCTCTATCCCCGCACAGCCGCCCGTACATGCAGAGCGGCGGGGATGGAGCGACGCTATCTGGAGGGGGGGACAGCATGAGGAAGCTTTCGGGCCCTCTGCTTCCTCTCTGGGCCCCGCCCAACAGGTGGAACGCCGGGCCCGGTCGCAATTGCGACCGCTGCGACCCTGGTAGTTCCGCCAGTGACCATAATAGTATCTATATCTATCCACATCATTACAATACCTCCAGGCATCCTGCTTTATTTGTAATATAAATATATTTAAAAAATCCTCACCACAAAGATCTTGTCCGGGATCTCACGCTCCTTTATAGGCACCAATTTGTAGTTACGGAAATCTACCACTTCCTGGTTACGGAGCTGCAGAAGTCTGAACCGTTTTGATCTGCTCATCTCTTCATCGGACACAAAATCAAACTCCTTCTGCAGTTGCTCCAGGCGGAAGAACTCAGGCACATGGGCGTCCCCCCCACTCGCCATCTAGAGTTACCAAAAGGTAGAGACAAAGTAAATCGTTATTTTGTCAGAACATAACAACAGATCCTCAGTAGTGAATAAGACTGATAATGTATTAGTCATTTACACTGTAAACCTCACCGGTATGAGCTGCATGAGAGCTGAATTGTTGGGATCGTTAGGATCAAGCTTTGATTCTGCCGCCCACTTGGCTAATTTCTTCATATCAGTCAGTCCGGAAGCTCCGATAGAAGACAAGGCATCTATGTTATGTAAAGCTCTATAAGAAGAACAGAAGTTACATTTATTGGTGCAGGGAAGACAGCAAGGATTATTTCCAGAAAAACACACCATAACAGTCATATAAAATAATTCTGATTTGTTGCTACAGCTTTGTATATTTCACATACTGCCTTAGTGAATAAGACCAACAAAGGAAAGGTGACTTTTTAAATTATGTTTGAAATAGGAAAAATGCAAAGTTATTACCTAGGGTCAGTCTTACCTTTAGAAACAACAACTCCTATTAAATAAGGTTCATACTTGGTTAGAGTAACCAAAATTGTAACACTATTATCATCCTTATTAGACAGTAGAATGGTTACTGTGTGAGGTGAAACCCAATGAAGAACTGCTTTACGGTAATATACATAATAACTTGTGTGCCTTTTGATTTGGGAGCCCCTCCACATACCATCCTTCTCATTGTCATGCCGATATCCCACATGCAAGCTCCACATTCAGGGATGTTGAATGTGACATTGATAGCACTTTTGTTTGAAGGATGAAATCTTTGCATAGGTGCCTTGGCGCGGCAGTGTGGCTTCTACATATTTTTGGCCAAAAGTTTGTGCAACTAAAACCTCTGATTTTAACGCATACTGTTGACAGGGCAATTTGTTTGGTTGCAGGCTAGCTGGCAGGTGAGCTGGGGATTTTTTGTGTTTTGTATTGAAGGATGAAATCGGCCTGCATGTCTACAAAGATACAAAACACAGAAAATCCCCAGCTCACCTGCCAGTTAGCCTGCAACCAAACAAGTAGCCCTGTCAACAGTATGCGTTAAAATCAGAGGTTTTAGTTGCACAAACTTTTGGCCAAAAATATGTAGAAGCCACACTGCCGCGCCAAGGCACCTATGCAAGGTGTGGTCCTAACTCTATGTATGTGAGTCTCCAAGTGTGAGCATATTAATGCAGTCGATAAATTGCATGCAGGTGTACCAGGAGGTAGCCAACTCCTCCTAATAAGGTGCAGGGACGCACTGGAGGCCCAGCAACCAAAAATGCACGCTGGGACCCCAGTGCGTCCTCTCAACCAAAAATAGTCAAACTAGAAAAAGCATGGTACTTGCATGAATCTATAATTAGCCTTTACGGCAGGGTGCACATTGGAAAGGCTTACAACAATTTTGTATTTTGTATTGTTGTAAGCCTTCCCAATGTGCACCCTGCCATAAAGGCTAGTTATAGATTCATGCAGGTATCATGTTTTTTTCTAGTATGTCTACAAAGATGCCAATATGGTTAAATCTGAAGTATCTTGCTTCCAGCACTTGCTTTGATTGATTCTGTGAAATCTATTTCCTGTTCAGCCTCCATTACAGTTACAGCTATAGTTGCATTTGTGTTTCTATATTAAATGATCCAAAGCTACAGAACTATTAACAGTGTACAGTTAGAGAGATTTATGACTATTCTCTCTCTATAGTTGCAAATTATTTTTGAATTGGGACACTTTGTAATGGTCAAGGATATCAGTTGACACTTTGTGTTGCCACGGGCCACAGCCAACACATGCAGGACTGATGCAAGAACAGTGTAACTCCTCAGACAGATAGTCAGAACAGAACCAGAGACAGCAGTCTGATGGCTGGGTCAAGCGAAATTAGTCCATTTAATGATAAAACAATGCCACCTAAATGCAAGCGCTTACGTGGCCCTTCATTAGGCTCATTCCTAGCCTGATGAAGAGGACCCTGCGGGGCCCCGAAAGCATTTGCATTTGGATGGCATTGTTTTGTCATTAAATGGACTAATTTCACTTTACTATGGGTGTGCTGGTGACATCCTTGAATTCATTGTTACTTCGCGGAGCCGTCCGTGGTCATTTCAAGCACCTTCCTGGACTTTACAGGGTAAAACTACAAACCAGTAAGGAGTGCAGCAATAAACATCTGTATTTACCTGATGGCTGGGTCAGGCACAAGAAACCAATCTAAAACAGAGGCCACATTCCAGAGAGGTAAAGGGATCTAGGACTGACAATAGCAAAGGGAACAGGCTGATGATCAGAATAACCAAAGGACAAGCTGATGACTAATACAGTCCAAAATGATACACAAAATAATCCAAGGTATTGAGTGTCAGACCAAAAGAAAGACCTCTATCCAAGGTGTACACAAACAGATTTTCCTTTGGATCAGGCAAAGGCTTAAAGCTTTGGCCTTGCTTTAAAGTTCCTTATTGAGGTCAGGTGTGCACTCTAGTGATCTGAGCTAAAGTTGTAAGTCATGACCAGCAGATGATGAAGGTTCAAGGCTACTCTTTACAGAAGCACTGGAATAAGTTTTCCAGCAACTTAATAGTGACACAATCCTTGAGCTCATAGATTACTGAAATATGTAGATATTTTGATGATCCTAACCCAGTACCAACCTTCTTGAATCTGTTTTTTATGTTATTTTTTTATATATGGTATGTACAAGTTCAGTATGTATAGAGGACAATCTAGAGATTGCTAGAGAGCCATGACATGAGAGCAACAAAGATCTCTATGTACAAGCACTGCTAGATGGCATAGAGCAAAGAATAGCATGGGTCACTAGCATACAGCAGCATCAGTGTCTTAGCATGAACAAGCACCATTAAGGGAGAGAAATATGGAGGCCGCCACTGCTGACCTCCTGAAAATACTAAGTGCCAGGCTCTTGCTTCTATACTTTCCGAGCCATATACCTGGAACAAGTAGGAACTCCTGATCTGCATACTTATTGTGGTGTTTTACTGACTGACTGAATGTACTAAGGCAGAAAACCAGCAAGACAGTCAGGCAACTAGCAGCTTTTGGAACCTTTTCAGTCTATAATATAGAACCAGTTGCAGTCTATAATATTACCTCTGTGCAGGTTTCTTTTTAGAATAATGGTACATAAATGTAGTCCAATCACCACATTTGGCCTCTGATCATAACTAAAAATTTCTGGTGGCGTATGCTTACCGCTGAAGAGCGTTCTTTTGCTGTGACATAGAAGGAACGAGTGGCACTCCATTTTCCCCAATTGCCCAGGACACACAGTATGACACTTTCCCAGATGTCATCAGAACCATCTTATTGGTCCCATCAGCTTCAAAAGAAAACGGAACATCTGAAAGTACAGAGCGCACAACCACAGATAATGTGGATAGAATCACTTTTATGTTCAATATTCTTTTTGAAATGTTCACATAAAGAAAACAAGTTGCAGATTATAGGTTTCAATGAATATGTTGAGAAGCGAAGAATAACAGCGTGTCGATCGAGGAATCCTGCTGTGTGTATTGTATTCTGACAGGTGCTGCCGACAGCTGTCAGAATACTCGAGCGGGCTGCTTGTTGGCTACTGGCTCCGATCGATCAAAAATTTTCCAGTCAGCTCCATTGATCAGCTGATCGAGGAATGCCGGCTGAAAGAGAGCCGACAGCCCCACACACTGTGCGAATTTCGGCCTGTATATTAAAAACCGGCCTAAAATTCGACCAGTGTATGGGCACCTTAAGGCAAAATCCCCTTACAATGTGAACAGCCTATTTGCCTTTAGTAAATCAGCCCCCCTGAATCCAAGGGTCCCAAATTGTCTTGTATTCAGGTAATCTACATGTAAAATATTCATCATTTTTTGTGGATCATAATCTATGAAAGTTTGGATTTAGTTAATGTTACATCAATTGTTGGTTACATCAATTTTTCTGGATCTAGAGATAGATATTTTCACTTCTAAGAAGATGCAGAATATCAGAGTGTGAGAGTTTCTCAGTATTCCAGGGTTCTATTTAAAAGTAATATTATACTCTCAATCTGTTTTTCATTAATTAATCTACACGGAGCAAATATACATTGCCCAGCAATCCTTTCATTTTTAGCCCAAGCACGTATAGTCATCATGTTTCCAAACAGCTCCAAATCTCTCAGCTCGGCTTCCATGATCTTCCTGCTGAGTACAAGATCACAAGGGACAGAGCAGTCTATAACAGCTGTCCATCTACTAGCTTAGAGAAGAGTGTGTGGGTGGGTGTGTGTAGGGCTCCACAGGACCATGCAAGGGAAAGGAGTCACCCAGGATATGCTCAGGGTCTAGTTTTCAGGGACCGGCTGATTCTGCATGAAGCTAAAACTGTTAAACATCAAGAAGCAGAATCCAATGTCAGTGATGTAATCAGCATTTGAAATAGCGTAAAACCTTTTGACAATAAAATCACTTTAAGCTGTTCTTTTTTTTTTTTTTAGGTTAAACATACACATAATGATGCAACTACTTCATATAACAATTATTCCACTGAATGAATCGTATCTTTCAGAAATCAAACTTGCTAAATCAGTGGCTAGAATGAAAACATACAGTGGTTGCTCACAATTACAAGCCCTTTGGCAATTAAGACAATTCCCAGTGTGTGCATGTGTGTATTACAACTGTGTATTTAGTTGTTCGCCAGCAAGCTAGACCAGCCCAAGGATCCTTTGTCCAAAGACTGCAGTGTTATAATCCAGAGTTTTACCATGTTGTATAATAGAGTTATAAGCCTCAATGCATTGTCCACATGGCCAGTGGTAGCAAGGGCTCAAAGCCATGGACCAGACAAGAAACCAACGTTTTTTTGCTATCCAGGACCCTACACTGCTCAGTTACTGTACAAATGTCATGAAATAACCAGAATTTTACCAAAGAATGAAAATGCTACAAAAACACAAACCATTCCATCTTTAGTGGAAATCCATCATCCCTACCAGAGATTTCTATAGGATGACAGATGATGTTCCATGTCCTCAGCCTGTAAGTATGCTGAGATGACGTGCAGATCTGCAGCTGCCTGCAGAGCTCTATATGAATGCTCTTAGTAATGTAGTTGGGTGTGACAGGACGCTCCGATCACCCTACATCATAATTTACTTCCATACATCAGATAAGATTACTTCTGTATGGCTCACATTGTCTATCATTTTGTAGTGCACATTTGTGGCTAATATATATAGCTGACTTATCCTTTCCTATATACAACCGGTGATACAGTACAGAAGATAAATGGGTGGACGTGACCCAGAACCTCAGATTTTTTTCAGGCTAACATGCAAATGTATGGGCTAAATTACTTTCTGATGCTCATAAAGCAATATGACGAACCTTGTAAAAAATTAGAACCAGATTGCTAGCATATTGTGGTCTGCTTCTTCCTCCACTTTAAGATTAAATTAGAATGTTCCTATGGAATAAAGAACTCGGATCTAATTAAAGGAGAAGTCGTCTAATATTTTACAGTTGTTATTGGAACGGGGTAGAGGGGAAAGCATGTTGTGATGACAGCTGTCGAAGGTGGGATTTCTTCTTAGTTTGGGGTGACTCCTCTACTGCTGTGTCTCATATGGACAATACGTCAGGAAAATCTCACCAACAGGCACAAAAATACAAATGTGTTAGTGGTTCTATTCCTCCTTCACTCTAGCCAAGGCTAGAGTAGGCCAGAGCAGCACTGTAATGGAAGCCTATGCACTTTGTCTAAGTACACACTAAACTGTCCTATAAAGCTATGTACATATACCCCATCCTTTCTCAATCTTTTTACCTCAGGGAAACCCTTGAAATAATTTTTAGGTCTTGGGGAACTATTAATAAAACCAATTCATCAAGGGTTAATGGGACAAATACCTCATACATTGGCTTCAAGTGGGACCAATACCCTCCCCCTTACAGTGATGGTCAGAATGGCACCCTTACAGATAGCTATAAAAATAACATTGGTGCCAGGCCACTGACTATGCCAAGTGGCTTTGGCCCTGGAACTATGCAGGTCAATCAGCCACAGCTCCAGGAACCCCTAGCAACCTCTGGAGGAACCTTGGTTGAGAATGGCTGACACCCTGATTTGTAAAATGCAGGATATTTGCACTGAGGTATCAAGGCTCATTTGCAACAGATAAGAAATTGAAATGTATTCCACATTGCACTTAACTTGGCATGCGTTTATAAATGCAGTTTTGAAGGTCTCTAATCTAGTGACCTGAACAGGAAACTGCAGGTCAAGGCGCTAAAAACTGCAGAACGCAAGATATTTTAAAACACCCTGCAACACATTGCTCTGGTGAGAACATGTCCCAATTACATGAATGGAAGTTAAAGTACCATGCAGCATGTCTGTTCTACAAATGCAGCAAACTACATGAAACCACCTCAGAGGCGTATGAACCTACAGACTCAGCAAGCCAAACTCTGTTGAGCCCTCTAAGTCAAACAAAGCAAATTTTTAGGGATGAATGGCTTGTATCTGCTTTGCTTCTGACTTGCTTTTCTCTGCAATCATATTAACATGTGTGTGGTCAAAAAATGCAGAATACACGCAGCAGAACAGAACATGCTGCAACAGTCAAAAGGAAAAGCCTGGCAAATATAGCAAAAACTAACTAACTAACTGACTAAATAACCAACTAACTAACTAAATAAGTGGACATTGTTCCACTATCTTCATAATTTCCTAACAGTCCTGTTGCACCATGTACAAATTAGAAGTTTGGATTTAGGGTGATACCATTTTTCGGCTAACTAAATAGATTGTAGTGCAAGCTTTTGAAGCATATTGGCCTCTTCTTCAGATAATATTGCCTAAAGGGTCAGTTTCGAAAGCTTGCACTACAATCTATTTAGTTAGCCAGTGAATGGTATCACCCTAACCCCCCATTCTCACCTATACTTTAGGTGTGATTTGGTATTCCTGTGTCAGGAACTTGTGATTTCCTGCAGCAGGAATCCCAAATCTCCCATTTACAAGTGGAAGCTGTCACCCATTCAAGTTAATGATCGGGTGACAGCGGCCACATTTGAAATCGGCAGAATGCTGGGAAACACCGCATGTAATTGTAGGTGATACAATAACGTGGTTAGGAAAGAATCACTATTGTACAGCTGCCACCAGATTTGGGATTCCTACTGCAGGAAATTGCAAGTTCCTGAGGCAGGAATACCAAATCGCACCTAAAATATAGGTGCGAATGAACGCTAAATCTAAATTTCTACCAGTGAATCCTTCCAACTGCTATATAAACATAAGCAAAAATCTCCAGTGTACACAAGCCCCTAAAATAATTCCCCATGCAAAGGATTTCCATGCACTGAATAGAGAAAAAAAGACAGAACATGCGATTGTAGTGAGTGAATCATGGAACCGTTATTTATCCCCTGCCACACTATACATACCGCTGCCAACACCTTCATGATCATACATGACTCTCTGATTACTGCTGAACTCCACTTCCTCCACAGGAGCATTTCCAGTCAGCACGGTGGTCTCAGGGATGGGTAGGAATGCCTCAGCCAGCAGTGTAGTCCCCAAATATCCAGCTGTTTCATGTATCTAACAGAAAATATGATTCTTTATTTATGATGTGCAGAGCTGTACGATAAGTAATAAAAGGGTGTGTACAAATACATGTACAGAGATATAGTTCACAATCCAAGCTATCAATGAAAACCCACTGGGTGTGTGGAAACACCTTCCACTTAGCCTCATGTGATGCAAAGGGAAGAACCTGCATTGCCTATAGGAAGTAAAGTATTCCAATGGTCATATTCTAGTGCTTAGCCACTATATATAAAAAAAATTCTTGTTTCTTGAGTCTTCAAACTGGGGGGCAAGGATTAGCCCATTTATGGTCATCCTCTCCCTAAGTTCCAAATCCTAAAGCACCCCTGCACACACCATGATAGTCAGCCAAACAGAAGAGGATTTCTTATCTATGGTGACTGGCAGGCCGATGAAACAAGCGGTACCAGCAGCTTTTACCAATGCCCTCTCTTCTGCGGCTCTTTGCATTGACATAAAACTGTCAGGCTCACAAAGCTACCATTGCACTTATTGTAGCGCTCCACTATGATCTGACGATCCACTGCCCTGAAGGCAATCTGATTGCTCCTGCAAGTGTGACTCAATGAAACAAATGCATTCTTAATACCTGCTAATTGTAAAGGGCAAAGTAACCACAGTGAAATACCATTCTCCTTGTAGCCACCCGACAAATGTATATATTTAATTCAAAATAGGAACATGGGACAGCAATCATGTAAAAAGCCACAATTACAATACATGTGCTTTACTAAAATAGACTATAGTCTCCCTTTAACGTGAACCTGTGTGTTCCCTTGCATGGGTAATCACAAGTTCACTTTAGAGGGAGACCATTGTTCACATTAATGGCAGCCCCACCAGCAGCACATACTTAACTCCCCTTCGCTTCCTCACCACTCTGGATGCACAGAGCAAACAGTAATACCGGATACTTCCAAATATAGGAAGCATGTGACTTACTACCCTCTCCCATAATGTCACTGATGCTTGGCTATCAGTGGGGGTAGGAAAAAGAGTCCCCAGTCCAATGCATACTCATAACTTGCAGCTCACCGAGGACTTCCTATATTTGCTCCTAGTGGGAGAGCAATGCAAAGGTAAGTATATATGGCTGCAGTAACTACCATTAAAGTGAAGCTGCTGCTTTGCGCATTATAGGAAAACACAGGTTCACCTTAACATTGGACTTCCACAGCTGCTGAATGGCTGGCGAGGACACCAGTTTCTAGCACAGAGGAAATCACATGGATATTAGTCATTACTGTAGAAGAAAATGTCCACTATGGATCTTACAATGTGCTATAGACTGGTGTGTCTTACCTTTTTATAATGATTTTCGCCTTTATCATCTTTCAACTAATGCTGATCAAATACCCACTGCTGTGTATGAGCTTCTATCAAGCACCCTTAAAATGTGTAATGTGTATGCTCATTTTTATATGATATGATAAAACCTTTAAACTTGTATCCTGAATACTTATATAAAAATAATCCTACTACCCTGTAGAGATCTCACATGCACTGACATAGGTAATACAGGCCATTGGTAATACAGAGGTGCTTATATATATAAATGCTGAATCAATAGAGCAGAGCCGCACACAGCAGCCAAGCAGATTCTTGTTTGAACCTCATTGACTACTATGAATAACAGTAAATAAAACCAGCATCCTCTGCATTTGTTTTAATAAATGAGGCATGCTGGATGGGTGTACTGTGATTTATCTATACCTGCAGCATATATTCCCATGTACACACAGATCAGACAAGCTGATATACAGCAGACTCAGGCTTATTAACCATAGTGAGGTGTACAACATGAAATATGACTCTGTGATAGAGCGCCCATACACAGCTGGATCTGCTTTTCCAAACACTGATTTTCTGACAAGTGCTATAATAATTTATAGTATTCTGGAGACCAGCTGTATCTTCAAGGTGTAAAAGGTACATCTTGTTTCAATCAGTGATAGAGCAAGCCTTTTCTTATAAAGTACTGCAGAGTGTACACTTTAAAGAGAACTGGTCATGCCTGACCTTATGCAAGAATCAAAATCATCAGTAGACAGAAATGGAGCAGCTCATCTCTCTACTCCCGCCATGAACCTTGGTGCCAGATGAGGCTTCGGCCTAAGCCTTAAATCCAAGAGTCCATAGGAAACCAGCACTCGAAACAGGATCGGTCCAGTAATACCAATTTATTCCCAAAAAAGCATAAAAACAGTCAACAACATAGTCATAGCTCAGTTGTGGGACTGAAATGTGTCAGAAGTATGTTATTGACTGTTTTTAGGCCCTTTTGGCATAAAAACAGTCAATTGGTATTACTTGACTGATCCCATTTCAAGTGCTGGTTTTCTATAGACAATCGGAATTATTAGCCTGGCGAACCAATCAAAGTTGTGTTTTAGGAATGTGAGTAGTCAATCTTCAATTATTATAATTAACGGACTTATGAAATATTTACATTTACCCTTATTAGCCGACCCTTATTAGCCGAAATAAGCACTTCACCTTTTTCAAAGTCATGTGCGGCTCCAGCTTTGCCATGTGAAGAGGTTATGCAAAAATACAATTTCTCAAAGCGGTTATTTGCAAATCTACAGATACAGAGCGGAGCTGGAATTACTTCAAGCATTAATCTGATGTTTATTTGCAGTATATGAAATTCTTCAGTCCTAGCGTTAACTTAACCCGTTAACCGCTATGCACTTGCCCACATGTGACTTGGTGGAAAAACAAAGTACTAGTAGAAAAGCTTAAAATTAATTTCCACCTTTGCAAGTGGTTAGCATTTATGGTGGTAATGTAGAGGTGCAGTGATGATGTATATGTGTGTGCATTTTCATGACTCACATTGCAGGCTTTCCTCGTTTTTCTAATGAACATTTTATTAGGCCTGAATCCTACAAAGTACACATTTTCTCCACATGAAATTTAGTCTAACAAGGGAGTCGGATTGTAAAGCAGCTCCCCTCTCCCTGTGATTCTGTGTAATATGATCACTAAAAATCAGCTCTGCCTTTGCACACAAGGCAGCCATTTCCATGAGGATATGAAGAATGCTAACAAAAAAAAGTATGTTTCTGTGCTCGTATACAGCAACGGCATATGCCTGCTTCATGTACACTCGGTGTACATTGCTGGCATAAGTTTTAAAAACAAATACGTCTGCAAAGGTGGAAATGGGCTTTAACCCTTTCGCTGCCAAGGACGTATGGCATACGGACCTACAAAAGTGCTTCCAGCTGGCCAGGTCAGTATGCCATACGGACCTGGCATTTACAGTTCTACTATAAGCTGATGGTCGCTTTAGCGACCATCAGCTTATAGTATAACTGTTCAGCAGACTGTCCCCTTTAAATTAATAGCTGTCATCAGCGGCTCAGAAGCCACTGATGACCGCTATTATCAAAAATACCGGGCGCCCCCCCCCATGGGGGGTCTTTTACAAACGCTAGCAACGCAGCAGTTGAAAATCAAATCAATAGGAAAAAATTGCAGAAAATTCAAAAATGGCTTGGCCAGCTTATTTGAAAAATGTTCCGGAGGGCTTGGCAGCGAAAGGGTTAATCATTTCTTCAATTACTGTATTGCTATTTAAAGTCAAGTAATCTATAGTCAGGTTTGCATCCACTTATACCTGTAATTTTATGCTCTCAGGCCAATTAAAGATCTGCAGGTTAAATATTTGCCCCATGTGGACTCGGAAGTCATGCCCCAGACGGACTGTCACAGTTCTGGAAACTTCTTTATTATTGAAAAGAATCTTTAGGAACAAAGAATGCTTCAGTACATCTTCACGTCTCACAATTTCTCCCCTGAAAAGCAGAGAAAAGGGATATACACCTTTCAGAACCAACAGTGTGAACATGGCTATAAAATAGTGCTTATTATTATTATTATTATTATTAAACTTAGAACTCGTCTCCTTCCCAAACATTTATTCTTCAGTAGTTGGTTAAAAGCTCAATGAGATACCATAGAGAACAAGAAAGCAGCAGCACATTAGTTCTTAAAAAGCTGAGTATTGTTAGGATTTAATGTAGAGATCGAGTCATTGACGACATATCCCTCAGCTCCCTAAAATGTCCCAAACACTACAGCGACCCCTAACAGTTAACCATCTCTCTGCTGAACCATACACTTACCCCAAATGTATGCCTTAATTTTTGGACAGCCACCTTTGTGCAGGCCCTTCACTGATGTATTCTAACGTAATCCTTACCTAACACTTAACCCTCACCCTGTAATCACAGCCATTACCAGCGCACCCAAAAATATCAACATGAGACTTTATTTGGCACAAAAATACCTGCAATGTTTGAGAGCCATGAAACTCAAGCAGCAGTGATCTCACCCTAACTCATACCTCTAAAAATGAGACCTTAATTAACGGGAGCTATGCTTTGCATGAAGCATGGCAGAACATACCCACTTTCCCTATGTTCTACCAGTGCTACTTCTGGCCGCTCAGAATGAAGAAAAACACCCAGTACTTCCAGATATGAAGGCAGCTACAGCTTGGTGGTCAGTCCACAAGAGCCTTTGACAAGTCTACACTTCTAGGCCTATTCTGGCCACAACTATGCACCTCATACTTGATAATTATAATCAACAATAATTAAGGAATAATTTACCTTGGACACATGTTGTCAGGGGTGACATTTCCAGACAGGCTTAGTTCAGGGTTAAGGTTAGGCTCTCCAGGTCTTCTCCTGATGTTGGCTGCTTTGTCTCGAACTTGCACTTCTATATCATGTCTATCTACTTGTATCGGCAGGGAAGGTTTGGTCGGCTCTTCTACCATGTAGTCCACCTCAGCTTCATCATCCTGTTCCATACCTTCCTTTTTCTTTCCCTTCCGTTTCTGCAGTAAAATAAAACAGAACTGGATATATAACAAAGCAAATTAATGTCAATGCTAACCAAAGCCACCCTAGGTCCATGGATGGTTTTAGAAGTGTGTAGCCGCTTGGTAACCAACAGCCTTGCCTTCTGCCAGAACATTATACCATATTCATGTAAGGAAGGTACTGACACAGTTATACATTTTTGCTGAAATGTGCTATTGCAAATAATGCAAGCAGTAAAGTTTCCACAGCCATCAGCGTGCCCAAAAAAACACTGGGTGTGGGGTAATGACGCATGTCTGTGCAATTTGACTTTAATGGATCTAGTGTTTAGTTTTTTTTTCCATTTACTTATTTTCTCCATTCATAGGCTCCATAATGTGGTTGACCCTAGAAACTGTATTTAAAACTGTATAAAAGGAAGTCCAGCCTCACCTATGACAACCGTAAAAGAGAAAAACTGCTAACAAGATTGTAAGTTGGATGTTGACATTTGGAGTATGAAAGGGGTTATTGATAATATACTGTATGTGCCCCCAAGGACAATTCAGAAATACAATATAACAAGAGACTGGCAAAAGGGGCAGAGCAAAGATAGAAAGCAGACTGGGATGTATTAGAGAAGAACAAGTACGAGGGGCAGCGAGATCTTGCATAGGTCAGACAGGGGTAGAAGAACAGTGGGGGCAACACAATAAAGCATTTGGGACACAAGTCCTGCTCCAAATTCATGAAAGCCATGTGAGAATTTTCTTGCTATTTCCAATGTGTGCCGCATATTCTGGTCATGCCTATGTGGGACACTTTTAGGTTATGGTGCTGTGGCTGTGACAAATTAATTAAGATATACCGCCATCTCAGTGATAATAAATATGGAGGTAAATAAGACTTCTTCCATGTTCGAGTCAATTGTGTTGCACATTTTATTATTTTATCTATCTAAGGCAATTCTGCCACAAATTCATATACCCCTTACTGACGTTACATGAATTTGTCCAACGTTGTACCATTTGTTGCATGGACAGGAGACAGATTTCTAAAGAGTGTCTGTGACACTGTTTATAATTTCAATGCTTTACTGAATTAATCTGACAGTGCATCTGCCTTTTGGAAATGTGTCACAAAGAAGGCACAGGGCTGCTTCACACTTCCGTAATGCAATGTGTTTTTTTTTTTACATGCTGTAAGTTTTTCATGTAGAGAGAGTACTGCAGAATACAGGTTAATTAGAAATAGCCCAATTGATTCTAATGGCAAAGATTTAATAGGGCATTTTGTGTGCAGCAATCACTTGCATTTATCAGCACCAAATGCACAACAGTGATTGGGCCATTGAGATACAAGGTGACTAGTTTTACTCCTTTTTACTCTTCTTTTTAGAGTGCAAACGTGCCTCTGCAGTGATAGCTTTTGCCAACAACCCGACTATTCTGTTTAGGGAATTTCCAATACAACTTAACACATTTTAAAGTTAGCCATGACAAAGATACTGATGGTATAGCCAAAGTCTAGAGACAAATGGTACAAAGATCAGCCCACACCCGAATGGAGACATTAAGGGACTAATAGCAGGAAGTACCAACACTGCACAGTGCAATAAGAGCTTCCTGCAATTGACAGAGGAGGTAATTGGTGATAGGAGGTGGGTGGGACCTGTACATGTAACACATCACCCTGGGGCCCCCAGCCAAAAAGCTATTTGTAAAATAATAAACATAAAAAACCTCTACTTCCTCTAGCGGTGGTTGGCCCCGGTTAGTTGGTGTTGTTGGACCATTCCTTTTCCCTATCTCCTCATTATTCTTTCTTTTTACCTTTCCCTTTTTCTTGTTATTTATCTTTTTTGGACCTCAGCCATTGCACTACTTTGCATTGAGTTTTTACCTTATGGCGCATTGCAAGCTTGATTAGCTCCGTTCATGTTTACGAGCTTATGCTCCTCATTTATATGTTAATTTACTTGTCTATGCTGTTGCGTTCCAGTTTCTTTTCTCTGTGTGTTGCACTTTTGATATTCCAATAAACATTTATTGAACAATAAAAAAAAAACCTCAATGAAAGGGATCAAAACACTTATATGCAATACCTGGGCCCTCTTCCATGACTTCCAGTGCTTTAGGTCAATTCTGTATTGCGTTAGGTTCTTTTCATACTCCTCCATATATTCTTCCATTAGTTCGCTGATTTCAGCTTGAATTTCAGCTTCATAAGATTCTTCGTCGGCTTTTCTATTAACTTCTTCCCTAAAATCAGGACACACTTCAATAAACAGTATTTATGGACTTTCATTAAAATTACTGAGTGTCTCTGCAATCGGAAGAGCTGCCTTCCTGTAAGGCTGCCACATGTGTCCTGCACATGTTCCACACTGCGTAGTGATCTCAAACAGCCATAAAGAATGCCGGCAGTATTATTAGCAACAACAATCAAGCATTATACCATTTGAAATCATAACTATGTGACTACTAGATTCATTTTTAAGAGGGCACTAATCAAGGCAGAATTATAAGATAGGCTACTGCTGACTTGTTTTTGAAGTGCATGGTTCAGGACTGCCACCCACATCTTTGCTTTCACTACTTAAAGTAAATCCACACTGCATAAAATACGGAGGCTGCCATTGTTGACCTGAAAATGCTAATTGCCTATCTCTGGCATTGATAGTTGCATAATCACTGACCTGGAACAAGCAAGTGAAGTCTATGGAAAACAGAACTCCAGATATGCAAATTTGTTCTGGGTTATTCAGTCAGTGGCATAGCAAGTGAAATAGAATTTGTAAAAGGAGAATTTAGCAATAGCATCCTAGGAATTTTTCCAGTAACATTGTTTCCATTATTGAGCCACTGATATGGAAAAAAGAACATAAGAGTTCTGACTTAATTTGTTCGAGGTCAGTGACTAATTGGTGGAGCGCAGATGAGGGTGAAATGTACAGTTCAACAGAACATATTGGTTTTGAAGGAGTTGTCTCATTCTCTTGGTTGACAATTTATTTGTCCCCAGTCATGTTTGCCTTCATCCCTTTAGCTCCTCCAAGCTTGAAAGGCATAGAGGTCAATGTGCCCACCACGCCATAAGTCTACAGCCCAATCAACTCATGGGCTCATGAAAATGGATGTTGTCAAATACTGGCTTTCTCATTTTATTGCAGTAGGTGTTCAAACGTTAAACACAGAACAGGGCTGCATTCGACCTGCTTTGCCTGCAATTCCAATGAATCTCACCAGGACCTGCTAGGTGCTTTTTAAACACACTACATGCTCGGGAAACGCCTATCTACATGAGCCTCATCTCAGACATCATCAGTACTTACTTTCGCAAATAGAGCTTCACTGGGGTGTTGTTGAACTTCTGAAATTCGCGCAGGGATTTTATCTCTTTCCAAACTTTTATGAGGGACTTCAGGAGTGTTCGGTCTTTTTCTTGCTCTGCATCTCGGTACTTTCTTGTTTGTCTAGAAACAAAAACTAGTATTATCAAATCAACTGGACATTCAACCCACCTAGCAGAGGCAGCCTGCTATCATGGTTGAAGCAGGAGGCATGGGGTAACTTGTAGTCAACCCATGTATTTAAAGTATTACCTCATGCATAATTTTTCCAATTGTAACATATAGCCTAGCTGTGGATAATGTATTTATTGAGGAACTTTGTCTTTTACATTTACATATAGTATAAATGGATAAATGGGGAGGAAAGTACAATATAGTATCAAGAAAAGTGCTTAATATTTGAAGGTGGTGAGTCTCCTATATAGCTTATTTAAATCATAAATGTTACCAACCCCCAGTTAAGGAGATCCCACCACTATTTCAAATATGCAACAATATGATTAAAAGTTAATTTGTTTATTATCTCTTTTAAATATTTTTTAAATAGATTTTTCTAATCAATATAAATGACACATACAAGTACAAAAATACAAAAAGAAGAAAACATATAGCTGGATGGCACTCTATTAGTATATATACAGTATAGTGCAATTTAGACCTGTTATCAGCATACCCCTTGAATGACTGTTGGTCCCTGAACGGGACAGAAAGGATTAAATAAATAAATGATTAGGTATATCCCCAAGATGATGCTGTCTTCACGATGGATTTTGAAATATAATTGTGCATACGAGCGGTATCAATATTGTGGATCAAACTTCTGTTTAAGAGAAATATGAAGTATCACTCACAATTCTGCTGTTCGAAGCAGTTGTCCAGGTTTTTCCAGTGAACCTTGCAAAACAGGTAGATGAGATGACTTGAAAAAGCATCTCGATCCGGAGACAAACAGAGGTAGTTGTAATCCTGGAAAGAGCTCCAATGTCGGAGTGTGGAGCGCTGATTACATTCTAGTTTGTAAGTGCCGTTGCAGATTGGAGATTTCCCCTTCTTTCATTTGCGGGCTGCACAAACCGTGAGAATCCACTGTGAGCGCCAGACAGATATCCTCAAGCTTGAGTTGTAAACAAACTGTTGTAGACAAACAGTCAGCCGATGCTACAAACAAATAGCTGATAAGGATATTTTTAGAGTGAAGTTGTGGATTGAAGACAGCCGATGTATAACAAAACCAAAAGGGGCAACAGATTGAGCATCAAAGAGGGGTAACTGTTACTGAGGCCACCCATGCAGACACGGCAGATTGTATGACACGTTTCACCCCCACCGGGGCTTCGTCAGAAAGGCGTGATGAAAGAAAGTCAAAGTTAACTGTTTAAATACACTTTGTGTATCAATTACACTTGATTGAAACAGATTTTGCCATTTTGCTAATACGTGATATATTCAACAGTTTGTCTTAAAGATACAGCCTTTTATATCCATTACAATGTATCGGTGCGAATATTATCTATTTGTTACACTCAATTGACAATATTTGCTACATTTAAGGTAAAACTAATGTTAACAAAGTGTAGAAAGAATGTGTATATATACTCTATATGCAGAAACATATCAGAAATACTTCATGTTCTTTTCAATTCTCTCATGTCCCTAATTTGGCCAACATGTGAGAATTAATAACATAGAAAAAAAACTTTAATATTCATTTTATCTGTTAATACAAAAAATTATATAATAACAACGGAAAAAACATGCCGGAGCGGGGAACGCAACTACAAAAAGCAGCTAAAGTTAATTGAATCATTAATCCCGGATTCTTCATATGATTTGGTTAGATGAATCCATCTGCATTCACGTTGCAGTAAACATTTATCCCAATTTCCACCCCTATTGGATTTATGTATCCGATCTAAGACAAAAAACAGAGCCCATGGGTTTTTCCCCCATGTGCCTGCACTACATGTCTAGCAATGGGGGATCTTAAATCACGAGCTCTAATGTCTGACAGATGGTCTGATATTCTATTCTTTAACATTCTTTTGGTCTTTCCCACGTAAAACATATCACATTGACAAAAAAGAAGGTATATAATTCCTTCAGTTTCGCAATTAGCAAAATGTTTGCTGTTTATTCGTCGACCTCTGGGAGTTGTTAAACTGGTTCCTATTGGAATAAACTTACAAAACTTAAATTTCTGACACTGGTATGTGCCTGGATATTTACAGCATCTTTGTTTCTGATCACTCTTGTACTCGTTTGTTACAAGTTTATCCTTTAGGGAGCTACATCTACGATAAGTAAAAGAAGGTTCTTTCTGTATAAATTTGGATATTCTAGAGTCACTTAGAAGGCAATGCCAATGTTTTGTAATAATATCTGTAACTGCTTGATGTTGGTTATTGTAGGTGAGGATCAATCTTAGTTGGTCATTTGATTTATTTGTAGATGGTTTTGATTTATTGGTTTCATAATTCCTTTTAGTTCTATTATAGGCTTTTCTCAGAATGTTATCTGAATAGCCTCTTTGTCTTAATCTCTTTCTCAGATTGATGGCCTCAACCTCAAAATCAACATCCAGGGAGCAGTTACGTCTAATTCTTAAGTATTGCCCATATGTAATACTGTTTTTTAATGTCATTGGATGAGCACTGCTGGCCTCCAAGAGTTGAGTTTCCAGCGGTGCTCTTCCTATGAAGGTTAGTATATAATTTACCTTGTGAATCTTTGCAAATCAAGATGTCCAGAAAAGGTAATTTGAATTCATTGGCTTCCACGGTGAACCTCAAATTATAATTATTAAAGTTCAATACATCCACAAAATCCTTTAGCAAATCTAGGCCTCCAGTCCACAGAATCAAGATATCATCTATGTACCTGTGCCATGATAGAACATGGCACAGATACATACATAAATCATCTCTGGACCACACGTCCTCTTCCCAACCCCCCAGGTACTAGTTAGCATAGGAAGGGGGCGGGTACAGCTGGCTCTGACTCACGCAGATGGGCGGATCCAGACATAATTGTCGGGATCCGCTTCAGCGTCTCAGTATACCCGCAAGCTGTAGCTCGCAGTATACTGAGCTTAGGGTGACGGGAGGACGCTAGTTTGTGTCCTCCCATTGAAGGTATTTGAAGGTGGTGAGTCTCCTATATGGCTTATTTAAATCATAAATGTTACCAATGATTCTCACGGTTTGTGCAGCCCGCAAATGAAAGAAGGGAAAATCTCCAATATGCAACGCCACTTAAAAACCAGAATGTAATCAGCGCTCCACACTCCGACATCGGAGCTCTTTCCAGGATTACAACTTCCTCTGTTTGTCTCCGGATCAAGACGCTTTTTCAAGTCATCTACCTGTTTTTTCAAGGTTCCCTGGAAAAACCTGTGCTTCGAACAGCAGAATTGTGAGTGATACTTCATATTTCTCTTAAACAGAAGTTTGATCCACAATATTGATACCGCTCGTATGCACACTTATATTTCAAAATCCATCGTGAAGACAGCATCATCATCATCTTTTGGATATACCTAATCATTTATTTATTTAATCCCTTCTGTCCCGTTCAGGGACCAACAGTCATTGAAGGGGTATACTGACTAACAGGTCTAAATTGCAATATACTGTATATATACTAATAGAGTGCCATCCAGCTATATGTTTTCTTCTTTTTGTATTTTTGTACTTGTATGTGTCATTTATATTGATTAGAAAAATCTATTTAAAAAATATTTAAAAGAGATAATAAACAAATTAACTTTTAATCATATTGTTGCATATTTGAAATAGTGGTGGGATCTCCTTAACTGGGGGTTGGTAGCATTTATGATTTAAATACCCTACAGTTTAATTTGTATGTTTTAAAGTGACGCTAAACTCAGGAGGTAAATCTTAAAAATACATTCAAGTACCTTAACTATTAACAATACTGTACCGTATTTGTATATCACTCAGATGTAGATCCTCAAATCTAAATTGGTGCTGACACTGTCCTTCCTTCTGGAGGGTGGCTACTTTTGTTCCCCATGGTCACTGTGTGTTCTGTAAAATAGCCACCACTTAAAGTTGATGATTTGAGGATCTACAGCCGAGTGATACACAAATTAGCTACATTTGTAGTTAAGGTTCTTGATTGTATTTTTAAGATTGAACTCCTGAGTTTAGTGTCACTTTTTTTTGTGTGAGGCCTCTAACAGATTAATGCCAGAGTTGGTGTAAGTTGTGGTAGATGAAGGAGTCTGGTGAGATTCGAGTGGCAACTTGTTTAATGAAGTTATTGAAAGGTGAAGAAAATTTGAGCATGCTGCTGAGACAATTGTGGACTTCATACCCACCAGTGCACAAATCTACTCTACTTTCTGCAGTTTGCAGGCACAGTGGTGGTACTGTGTGCACATATACAGAGTGGCCAGTTTGTATAAACACTTGTGGGAAGATGTTCTGAAATGTGTACAGTCGTGAGAACTATATGCTTAATGTGACTAGGCTAACAAAGAGTCATATGAAACCTAAAAGTACTGGGAGCCAGACTCCCTTTTAAATTTTAATCATCCGCCCCTTCCTCCTGACTCAGCATTTCCAACTCCTATAACTCCTCCTGACTCTAGCATATTCACGTCCCTTCTGCTCTGGGACTAACAATTTAGCTGCTTGCTTGCTTAAGGTGATGGTGACGATATGTGGACATGGCTACATAAAAGCCCTGGAGAAGGAACCCCATTCCAACAGTATTCTCTGCTACCCATATTCCGACAGTACTAGTCAAAGGGGGGGAGTAAGTCTACCCTACTGCCCGAGCATTCTGTAGCCATAAAAAAGGAAATAAGAAATGTAATGCCCCCTGTTCAAAATTACTTCAGTGATTAATGCAATCAGCCCATTCACAAAGGTTTTTTTTCGTTAGCATTGCACTCTACATGCATCTTCTGGTCAAAAAAGAGAATCAAAGCTGAGATATCTAAATGAATTAGGAAAGGGCACTTTTCACATGAGCATGGATGCTGGGAATTTATTTTTATTGCAGCAGAATACTGTTGGTAAGAATGATAGCAAGAGTTATAAAAACACTAAAAGGAATACTCTAAAAATGGACATAAAAGAGGAAAGCTATTTTGTATGATGTGCTGTTTTGTGCCTGATAATATGATTTCAATTAGAACTGTCTCTCCAGCACATTTATTTCTTAGGAGTGCTTTAAAGCCACACAAAGTTGAAACCATTTTCAATATGCCACATTTGCAAACACTTCTTTTAGAAACACTTCTTCTATGAGGTCATCTCAATGAATAGAGGCTCTGAAGGGACCGAAAGATTCTCCTGGCTCTTATAAGACAGCTATACAGAACCATTTCTGCAGAGAGTGCTGCATGTAAAACATATGCCGCCGTAAAATACACTGTAAGATAAACTCTTTAATTGAGACTATAAACGGGAACCACAACATTAACACAAGGGAAAAAACCTTTAAAAGACTATTTTGTTATCAGAGCAATGCCAGAGCAAAGGGCTATGAGCATACTGCAGTATTTACAGAGTCCATCTTCTACTAGTATCATTGCAGTGAAATCAATTCTGATTGAGTACTTTGGGCTACTGTACTTTGCACTGAATGAGTCTGCATGTGTCTTATATTTCTGATGATACAGATAACGTAAACACTTGTTTTAAGATGACAAGGCTGCACTTTTGAGCATTTGATTTTTTTCTACCCCCTTCACTATAACATGTATGTTGTTGGGCAGCCTTAAAAACATGATGGGTAGAGTAAAAGTTTGTTCTAATTACTTATTCTAGTAACAATGGTGACATGCAGTCTAGGACGTGCAAGAATCATTCAACTTACATGACTTAAGGCTAAATTGTTGTCAAATGTAGATGGCCTCTTTGATGCCATGATGGGTTCAGGCCACCTACATCAAACTGCAACAACCATCCTTAAACAAGGATGGGTGACCTTGACACTATCCGTCACCCACATACAGTATATTGCCATTTTAACCGTCAGTTATGAAAATTAACACCTGCGCCAGCCTTCATGGCACCATGGTGACTGGATTATGAATATAAGAACAGGGTGGCTTCACAAGCCTTCACTCCTCCCACCATGTTCATGGACAATCACCATCTGCCTTGACACATTCCATGGTGATTGATAAGTTATCCATGTGGCTATAAATTCTGGGGTATGATCCTAAAACTCAGAAGAAATGAAGAAGCCACTTTGATGACCATCATAACCTCTTCAACATTACAGAACAAGTCTAGTTAAATGTGTCTAAACATAACCAGCTATTCTATGGTTTAGATAACGGAGAAGCTTCACAGACATATTGTAACCGACTAGCACTGGGTCCTTGTGAAAGGCACTTTGAGGTCCAGTAATACAGTAATAGATACAAGACAATAGATTCTGTTTAAAATAAGTAATGCATTAATACAAGGGATGAAAGTTGCTCGACCAGGATGTTGTCTATGCCGACTGGCAGGCAGAAGTCCACCACCTGACAGCCTTTGCTGGCAACACTGGGCAGGTTAAAAGGGCTTGGAAGGTCTATTGCCACAAGGGTTACCAGATCCTGCTTGCATGGCCAACCGCTCTGTATATTCTATAGGCAGCCTTAAATCTGCGGAACATCTATGGTCAGCACATAGGAGCAATCCCGGGCAGATGGCCAGAAATTCCTTTGTAATTATGGGTGGGACTGAACATAAAATATACTGACAGAAAACATGAGAAACACTTCTCAGATCAACCGAGTTTACTATCTAAAAAATAAAAATCTAATAATGTTTAAACAGATCCAGGATCATGAAATAATAAGCATGTTATGTAAACATATTTTTTTTTTTTTTTACCCGGCATGTGCTTTACTATCTCTCCCCAAGAATTGTAATCTAGAACATATGTCCTGTACATCTTATAAATACAAATGAGTTTACTACAGAGAAAAGGAAAAGCACTTACCCTTCAGGGATACTTTTGGTGCTTTAAAACACAGAGAAATTCCAGACAAATATGTGTTTTGCAATTCTATTAATATTTACATACTTAACTTCTTCTTTTCACAGAACAAAGCCATATATTGTCAAACAAATTCAGAAATTGGGCACTTTAAAAAAAAATACTTTATGTGATTCATGTCCTCTGACAATAACCAGTGTCTGCAGAGCAGATGTAAATCCATCACGCAGATCTGATCACATCAAAATGGCAGCGTGCTTCCTGGTTCTAAGCACTTTCCTCTGTGTAAAGCTGGCCACATACTTATATACTTGTATTTCGGCTGATTACTTTTCAATTTCAAGCTGTGTCTTGTCCTGCCGGCACCCTCATTTCAACAACTGTTGACTTTTGTCAAAAGAGCTGGGTGGAAAATGTCAGCCAGACAGCTACAGTCACTGTTTGTGTATCCTTAGAGTGGTGGACGCTGGCTGTCGGAATACAAAAGCCCAGGAGGGAGATTCCTCCATCCACACTGATACTATGAATGGAGAAATATATCAGATTTATTTCATTCACCCTACTGGCTGAACAAAATAATTATTTAACTGTATGGTCAGCTTAAGCCCTAGGCACAAATGTAGCATGAGAGAGAGGCTGTACAGCATAGAATCATATGAGATGAGGCTGTAGACCTACCTAGAAGCAATGTAAAAATGTATATTAAGGGACTAACTAAAGCCCTTAGAAAGGTAAGCTAGATGGCTTTCTGACTTTAGCACAGTTGCAATATTTAATATGTAGCATGATCAGTTCACCGACTGATACTACCTGCTGTGGGGGGTTATTTAAAGGAAAACTCCACTTTAAAAATATAAAATTGACAAAATCTTTAAAAAAAAATAAATATAGCATATACAATTGTCACATAATTGTAGTATTTTGTAATTTGTTGTAATTAAAAATGACCTTTCCATTTAAACTGTAGCTGCTGTAATTTTCTAAATGTGGCAAAAAAATCCAATGCAATATGGCGACCTGGAGGTGTCCTGCTTCTCTAATTGGTGGACTGATTTTTCAAAAAGTCTACACTAGGATACAAGTACAATTTTTGGTATCCCTTGTAATTGGAATTTCATTTTTGGTGAGATACTCCCTAAGCCTAGGGGTTAATTACTACTAAAGGGATGCTGACACTGCACCTTTCCTTATTACAACACAGGATGCCCTTCAACTGATTATAATGAACCCAGACCCTCCTATTCAGGAATTGGTCTGGTAAGGACATGCTGCAACAGCTTGTTCTTCAGAAGAAAAACAAAGTTTCTGTTGTGAAGAATGATTGAAGAGAGAGGAATGACTTTTTTTACAACAAAAGTGGAATTACTCTTTAAGTATTTGCACAGATGGAGTACCTGATATCCGGCTTATAATCATGGATACTGTGTTCAGTTATGGTGCTGGGGCCATACGTGCCTCCTGCAGAAATATCCTGTATGGCATTCCTCAATGCATGCAACTAAAAGAAGAAGAAATAAACATGAACAGTACAGCGGGGAGTCTGTTTCTGGTTAGAATTTAGCTGCCAATTACAGGATCTGATAAAGGAATATTAATGTAACATTCTTTCTTTTATAATCCACACTGAGAACAGAGTCAACTGCAATCAAATACGTTTTGAGTTATTACACTGGAGCAAAATCAATACAAAGAAATACTCATCTTTGGTATAGAAAAAGAAAACACTTACACCATACCATTGGATACACATCACAAATAATAAAATAAGTCCAAATTTTTTTTTAATCTTAGGAAGTAGGAAGGGATTAGACTTATGTCTGGTGTTAAATGCTGTCTGTGTTCTGAGGAGAATTTGTTTATATATATATAT